TATATATTATTTTATTATTATTTTTTTTTTTTTTGCATTGTAACTATAATTGCTAAGTCAATGTTGTTATCAATGTAAGTGTATATCCAAAGCGATCTTGTCAACTGCATGATATGCGTTGTGATAATAACGCCTGTTTATGAGTTATTCTAATCATACTTTTTTTGTCAGTACTACACCACAATTTCAACTGTTTCAAATGTAAAGGCATAACTTGTCTAATTTCTTGTTTGTTATATTCAGAAGAGGCAGCTCGCATCAAGAATGGTGACTTCTTAGGTTGTAATGTCACTACTCGACAAAACATAGTCCTTAAAAGGAGTTATTAATTAATAGTTCACTGAGCTTCAAATTAAGTAGTGTTCGAACCGGTTTGTTATGAACGTTTAATGTACAATTTTTCTTAAGAGCTTACAACGCTCTAAAAGCGACGCACAATGAATCATTATAAACTATTTAAAGAGACTTAGACAACACGTCGCCCATCGTACAGAAAATTGAATAAAACAATGCAAATTGCCATTTCGGATCTGTAGTTATTTGAAAACGATGTTTCGAATTTCCAGCACAGACATGCGGTAGATTGGAAATAATATTTTCAGTTACTGTTTCACATTTGGATAGTTTTGGTGACGATATTTGGAACTACCAGTGCAGATCTACAGTAGTTTGGAAATGACATTTGAAATTATTGTTTCAGATCTATGAAAGTTTGGAAATAATATTTGAAATTGCTGTTTCAGATCTATGAAAGTTTGGAAATGACATTTGAAATTGATGTTTCAGATTTACAGTAGTTTGGAAATGACATTTCAAATTGCTATTTCAGATCTACGGTAGTTTGGGAATGACATTTCAAATTGCTGTTTCAGATCTACAGTAGTTTGGGAATGACATTTCAAATTGCTGTTTCAGATCTACGGTAGTTTGGGAATGACATTTCAAACTGCTGTTTCAGATCTACGGTAGTTTGGGAATGATACCGTAGATCTGAAACAGTAATTTGAAATGTCATTTCCAAACTACCGTAGATCTGAAACAGTAATTTGAAATGTTTGGAAATGATATTTCAGATTGCTGTTTCAGATCTACGGTAGTTTGGGAATAACATTTCAAACTGCTGTTTCAGATCTACGGTAGTTTGGAAATGACATTTCAAATTACTGTTTCAGATCTACGGTAGTTTGGGAATGACATTTCAAACTGCTGTTTCAGATCTACGGTAGTTTGGAAATGACATTTCAAACTGCTGTTTCAGATCTACGGTAGTTTGGAAATGACATTTCAAATTGCTATTTCAGATCTACGGTAGTTTGGAAATGATATTTCAGATTGCTGTTTCAGATCTACGGTAGTTTGGAAATGATATTTCAGATTGCTGTTTCAGATCTACGGTAATTTGGAAATTACAGTCTTTACTACTAGCCTACTAGTCTTTAGTTGTTTAGAGTCGACGTTTCAGGTGTTAATGCAGGTTTCAACAGATCTACATAAACAGTTTATAAACACCTTCTGTAGACTATTGAGTCTTCTTACATTATCCAAAACGTATAATTGCCCACTGGCTACTAAAACTTTTTGAATCAAGATAAAATGTGTAGTTTTACATGCAAATTTGTCAATTTTTCCATGACTTGAACTTACATGTATCTATAAAAACAACCCAGTCACAAACAATATATATATTTATATATAAAGAAAGATTGAGAGAGTTTTCAAAGGAAGTAAGCTGTGGAACTATAGAGAATGCCAAATAATGAAGATGGAGAGAGTTCTCAAAGGAAGTAAGCTGTGGAACTATAGAGAATGCCAAATAATAACAGTGGAGAGAGTTCTCAAAGGAAGTAAGCTGTGGAACTATAGAGAATGCTAAATAATGACTACGAAATCGATTCGAATAAAACCTTTTCCTATTTACGAGTGAAAGAGCGATTTTTTTTTTCGTATGTGTATATGTATATATGTTGCCTGCGTGAAGTATTTTTATATATACACAAAATATGTATATATTTATATGTTATTCATATAAGGGTATGATTTTATATTTGCTCCCTCCTAATTTAAAAGATAAACGCTGCCATGCCAACCAAAAACTGTGGTTTTCCAGTAGAAACTCTCACGAGCTCAGCTCTGTCGATGACGTAAGTGCTATAATTTATAACTGAGTACACGTGTCTTTAATACGAGCTTACTTGCCAGTTTTGTTTTGTTTTTTCTCTCAGAGGGCTGTATATTTGTGCTTATGAGTTAAAGAAGGGATTAAGAGTGTGACAAACACAACTTTAAAGTACGAGTATCTAACGTAACGTCAAGCTCATACTTACCGACGTAAACATATCCCTCGCCTTGTCTTCCAGAGTGCTCACGAACTCCTGTTCAAGTCTCAACATGTCCACGAATGCTATCTGGCCACCTAAGAAGTCGTAAGCGCTACATGGCTCCTGAAGCTTCCGGGAGAAAGATTGCTCAGAAATCAGAAGCCTGTCGTTCTTCTTGAGGACAGGATTACTAGTCACGTGTCCAAAGACGAGGAGGGCGATGAATAAATCTGTGACAGAAAAAAAATAAAAAGGCTTAATTTATGACATACGATATAAGTTACTTATTTATATAATCAGTTATTATAACTGATGTGACGTCACTTTTTATCACCCTCCCTCTGTCGAATTTTCTAAGTTTTTAACATTGATTTTTTTAAAAATAAATACAAGATTTCTTAATTTTAACACTCGTCTCTGATTTTAAAAAAAATCGTGTTCCAAACATTTTTATGTTTTGCGACGAAACAATCACATTGTATGTTTAAAAGTAAACTCTATGAAGAGATTGATGAAGTGGCAATGGGTTCGAGCCTTGCTCTTGACCATGCTAATCTTTTTCTTCGGTTACAATCCTGCCTTGTATATTACAGTAAATAATTTGATTAAATTTTTGTGGTGTTTAACAATGTTGAATGGGTTAAGGAATTTTTCCACTTTTCAAATATAATGTTGACTGTGGAACATCATTAGAATGACATTGTTAAATGTTCGTGTTTTGAACAACCAGGGTATACTTAATGGTATCATAAACACACTTTCACTGAAATTTACTCGTGTTTTTGAAAGTTTCGTTCCTTTCATCTTCAGAGAAAATCTGGTTAAACCCCTGTCATCCGGGGTCTTTTAAGATATCAGGAAATAAAAACGTTTTGAAGGAGAAGTCGAGAACAATAAATAATTGTTATATGTTCCAAAGAAAACTGCTACTTTAAGCATGCTCTACGTGATTGGGAAGAAGAAAATCAACCAACAGTTATGTCTACAAGGTGTCTTTTAATACAGAGTCTAGGTGAACTTTGAAGAGAAACATCGGTGCAACCAGGAGTGTATTAGATAAACCACTAGGTGGATCTGCCATTCGAATGAAATAAAACTGTAACACTAAAAAATTACAATACTAGTAAATGCTATCAACCACTGTCTAAATGAGTTTGATGTTAGGCCTAACTCCATTTTTTCCAGCGTTATTATCCATTCTAGGGAATAATTCCAACGTAGAATGTTAGAATATCTTGTTGTTAAGCAAAGACAACTAAAAGCTCTTAGCCGGAAGATGAACCTCACTATCACTTCATCTTAGCCGGAAGATGAACTCCACTATCACTTCATCGTTAGCCAGAAGATGAACTCCACTATCATTACATCTTAGCCGGAAGATGAACCTCACTACCACTTCATCTTAGCCGGAAGATGAACTCCACTATCACTTCATCTTCAGCCGGAAGATGAACTCCACTACCACTTCATCTTCAGCCGGAAGATGAACTCCACTACCACTTCATCTTAGCCGGAAGATGAACTCCACTACCACTTCCTATTAGCCGGAAGATGAACTCCACTACCACTTCCTATTAGCCGGAAGATGAACTCCACTACCACTTCATATTAGCCAGAAGATTCACTCCACTACCACTTCATATTAGCCAGAAGATGAACCCCACTACCACTTCATCTTAGCCGGAAGATGAACCTCACTACCACTTCATATTAGCCGGAAGATGAACTCCACTACCACTTCATATTAGCCGGAAGATAAACTCCACTATCACTTCATATTAGCCGGAAGATAAACTCCACTATCACTTCATATTAGCCGGAAGATAAACTCCACTATCGATTTCAACCATAAGGGTTCTGACGGATTATAAGGCTAAACATCGGGGTTCGATACTCGCAATGGCAAGAGCTTTGTGTTCAACAACAACAAGCAAACCTTAACGAAAAGGGAAGTATCTAGATTTTTATATTGTATTTTACAGAAAAATAAGGTTTCACAAAAGCTAGCGATTCTGGAGAGAAATTAAATACAGAAAAAAAAATCACAGTCCACATGAGAAGATGACAGAGAAACTTTTACGCGAATAGTTTATTGTATAAAAACCACAAATTAATTACACATTACTGAAATTAATATTCAGTAAGTGTAACAAATGATCAACTAGGGTCGGCACGTCGAGTACGTCGTTATCAAAACACACATCACAACAATATTTATATATATTGTTACGTCTCCGTTTGTTAATGAACTTTCCGTAACTTCGTTCCGACGAAACTTAAGCGACACAAGTCCTTTCTTAATAAAACTGGTTTATTATTTCCGAATATAACTTTACCAATACACTCAACTTCAACAATCGCGCTAAACAAACGCTGTAACGTCTCTCGTGCTCTCTGACTGCAGTTCAATTACTCACTGTCTACACACACATTACAATATCCCCTCCTCTCGCGTCACGTTGTCCCCTCTTATATATACCCGCCTACCCTATCTAGTAAATACTAGAGCATTCATGAAAAAACAAGATAGTTCTAGATAATAGAAGGCGCCACACCAGTCACGTGACCTCGATGACGCAGCAATATATTGTATTAGATTCTATCTCTAATTTACTGTTTATAAGCCTATTTCTATTTTTATATATATTTCAACTTATTCTCTATTGCAAAAAAAAAAAATTGAATATGTTTAGATAAACAAACGTTCGAAGAAACACGGTATCATTAACAAAAAGTAATTAGTATGCATAAATTATGTACATCATTTGGCTTAACAAGAACAAGTCAAGCTTCCATTGGTCAATAAATAAGGTTTGAATGTTTAAAAACTAGAACTGTTTTATAAATCCATAGAATTTATAAAAAAAAGATCGTTAGCTTTACACTAAGAAGGTTAATAAATTTGAACACTATTACGAATTCCAGTTACAAGTGTATGAAGCATATACATGTAATATCACTGTTCCTGCACTTATTACCATAATTATCGTTTTAGTGATATCCTTGTGAATCATGGTCAATCATAATTAACTTTATAACTCCAGTCAACAGTCAGAACAACCCGACCTTCTTCTAGCCAGTGATTATTTAAAAGAAACAGAGTGTAAGCTGCGTAAAATTACTAAGATTACTCGTACTGTTTCTGCAAACCTCTTACAGAGCTACTGGTATAACAGAATCCAGCGAAGAAACTCAAGTCGGCCTTGAGACACGTGTCAAAACTTTTACTTCCACGTGTCTTTCAACTACCCGAGTTCAGTCAGTCAACAGTGCATTATGTCATATGGTGAGTAAATTCCATGGAAAATTTAAAGGTGAAATCAACACGGCTTTCCACGTCACACTCCTGAAACATCACTGTCTCTCAGACACCTATTGGATGACAATGCTACGTCAGCTTCGGCGTTCAATGTCGCTATTAACTAATAACTTAAATTTATCCAAGTTCAGTAAAAAAAAATTGCGGTATTAACGCCGAAAGCTAGAGGAAAATTGGAATCCAATAGAAACCTAAAATTTATTATCAAAATCATGTTAACAGCAACTGTTATTTATTTACACATTTCTGTTAATTTGTCCATTTAGAATACAAATTCAGAGACGTGTAAAATATTAACACCAGGTGTAGTATAGTTTATCTTACATGAACACCATGTGCTGTACAGTTTATCTTACATGAACACCACGTGTCGTACAGTTTATCTTACATGAACACCGCGTGTAGTATAGTTTATCTTACATGAACACCGCGTGTCGTACAGTTCGTCTTACATGAACACCGCGTGTAGTACAGTTTATCTTACATGAACACCGCGTGTAGTACAGTTTATCTTACATGAACACCACGTGTAGTATAGTTTATCTTACATGAACACCGCGTGTAGTATAGTTTATCTTACATGAACACCGCGTGTCGTACAGTTCGTCTTACATGAACACCGCGTGTAGTACAGTTTATCTTACATGAACACCACGTGTAGTATAGTTTATCTTACATGAACACCACGTGTCGTACAGTTCATCTTACATGAACACCGCGTGTCGTACAGTTTATCTTACATGAACACCGCGTGTCGTACAGTTTATCTTACATGAACACCACGTGTAGTATAGTTTATCTTACATGAACACCACGTGTCGTACAGTTCATCTTACATGAACACCACGTGTAGTATAGTTTATCTTACATGAACACCACGTGTCGTACAGTTCATCTTACATGAACACCACGTGTAGTACAGTTTATAAATCAATAAATGCAGAATTCTTTTTAATCACATAAAAATAGCGGGCTCTCCAACACACTGACGTAAACGGAGTGAAATCTCATAATTTCAAAACTGCAATAGATTCATACCCGAGGAAGACCATAACCTCCATTAGGACCATGCCAGAGTGTAAAAAACGTTCTAACATAATCCTAATATGAACTGCTAGACTAGAGAGAATGCACCCACAAACCTGGGATACTGCTACCAAGGGCTGTCTCGGAACGAATCTGAACGGCCCCAAAGTGAAAAGCGTGTTCTTTTGTTCTGCAAGATTCTGCATAGTTTTTAAACATGAAAAATCGCTCTACGTTTTATAGTTTTTAAACATGAAAAGTTGCTGTATGTTTTATAGTTTTTTAAACATTAAAAATTGCTCTAAGTTTTATAGTTTTTAAACATGAAAAGTTGCTGTAAGTTCATAGTTTTTAAACATGAAAAATCGCTCTACGTTTTATAGTTTTTAAACATGAAAAATTGCTCTAAGTTTTATAGTTTTTAAACATGAAAAGTTGCTGTAAGTTTATAGTTTTTAAACATGAAAAGTTGCTGTAAGTTCATAGTTTTTAAACATGAAAAGTTGCTGTAAGTTTTATAGTTTTTAAACATGAAAAGTTGCTGTAAGTTTCATAATTTAACGAAAATTTAATATTAGAGCTCCGAACAATTCAACTTTTGTTCTTATCGTCTCACCTCTTACAGAGAAATTTTCATTTGAAAATTAGCCCCTCCCCTCCCCTCCGTTTCCTTTTTTTTTTAAAAACTTCGGTGAACTTCAGTTGCCTCTTGTAAATTATTTTATTCATATAAGCCCCATTTTCAGTTCTTGGCTATTCAATATACACTGGGGGGGGGGGATGTCCAAAAGTCATGTTTACCCTAGTATTAATTGCAAGGACCGGTTTGATATTAACATGAAATACAAACTCTGTGGTTGCAGTCACGATGGTTTCTGTTGAAGTTACAGAATCAGAAAGACAGGTCGTCCAGAAATTTTAGAATCCAGTCAAAAGATAACAAGAAAACTCCAAAGTATAGAAGGGATATCTTCATTGTCTTAGAGCGTTCAGTGATCTACAGACTTCTAAACAAACGACAAGGAACATTTATTGTTGTTTATACTAAGAGTACAGAGTCCAAGAGGTCATGAACCCATTCTCATGGTTTTCAAAAGTAGCCTTGTTTCGAAGTTTCGTTACGTTTCTTGGAGCAAAGTTTTAGCGTTTTTTTTTGTCATTTCTGCACGATTTTAGGGTTAAAGATTTAACTGTTACTGAAACCATAACTAAAAGGAAATATATATTTTTACTTCTACCACTATCACTGATTTTCTGTTCTTTAGACTAAGTACCACGTAACGTAACTAGAAACATGCTGAAGTACCACGTAACGTAACTAGAAACAGGCTGAAGTACCACGTAACGTAACAAGAAACATGCTGAAGTACCACGTGACGTAACAAGAAACAGGCTGGGGTGTCACGTGACGTTAAAAAGAAACATGCTGAAGTACCACGTAACGTAACAAGAAACATGCTGAAGTACCACGTAACGTAACTAGAAACATGCTGAAGTACCACGTAACGTAACAAGAAACATGCTGAAGTACCACGTGACGTAACAAGAAACAGGCTGGGGTATCACGTGACGTTAAAAGAAACATGCTGAAGTACCACGTGACGTAACAAGAAAACAGGCTGAAGTGCCACGTGACGTAACAAGAAACAGGCTGGGGTGTCACGTGAGGTTAAAAAGAAACAGTCTGAAGTACCACGTGACGAAGAACTCTGAAAGCTTGTAGGTTTAAATAAAATTTTATATTTGTTTAAACAATATTATAACAATGATTTATCAATCGTTCATTCTTATTGGTTCAAATGTTCCTCCATTTCTCAGATATAACTAATGTGATATAAATAGTGTGTTAGAGAAAGGAGCTTCACACGCCGCCGACAGTAATATGTGGAGTTATAGTTTTAACGACGTCTTCAGACGAATTTCAATAAATTGCGGATCTCCCACAAAGCGATCAAGATTCTGCATAGTTTTTAAACATGAAAAATTGCTGTAAGTTCATAGTTTTTAAACATGAAAATTTGCTGTAAGTTTTATAATTTTTAAACATGAAAATTTGCTGTAAGTTTCATAATTTTTAAACATGAAAATTTGCTGTAAGTTTCATAATTTTAAAACATGAAAAATTGCTGTAAGTTTCATAGTTTTTAAACATGAAAAGTTGCTGTAAGTTTCATAATTTTTAAACATGAATAATTGCTGTAAGTTTTATGGTTTTTAAACATGAATAACTTCTGTAAGTTTTAAGTAAAAGAAAAGCTTTATTGTTTACTGGATCTTACTACATGAATAGGTAAGGACGTGGCCTACTAATGGTCAGCGTGCCCAGACCGTGAATCTGCGGATACATGGTTCGCATCACAATCCATTAAAACCCCGCTTCGTGTTTTTATGGTCGCAGGCGGGCTATAGATCGCACAAAACCCCTTTATTCGATCAGATAATAGTAACCCAAGAGTTCGGCGGTGAGTGCTGTTGACTAGCTGTTTCCCTTTTAGTCTGTCACCTTAGCCGTCGTGTAACTTTGCGTAAAAGTTATGAAACGAATAATATCACGAATTCTTGCATAATGAGCCTGAAAGACTGGCCAGTTTAAGCCTATACGACGTTAAAAAAAAATCGAACGTACAGAGTCTAAAATGTTGTTAATAAGCGTAAACAGCGGATACTTACTCACTGATCGCTGGATTGTGTCCATGTAATGTTTCGGAGGTTATCGAGAAGAAAAGAGAATACAAAAACACAGTACCAACTTTCTTGTTACATTAAAACCCATCCCCACAATTACGTTTACTCCCAGTACAGGGGGCGTATATCTCAGCGGGCAATGCTGTTTCAGCTCGTGTTTGTAACATCTTGCTTGTTATAGAACTTCCTAATCTGAGAAGAAATTCCAGGAGACTATGCGCGTGGCATTGGCTTAGAATAAACAGACTTAATCCGGTTAATTCAAGAAAGTTATCTATACCAAATCTGGCAGAACAATTACACTGGTCGACAAAATCAGAATTTTCAGCAGTTATTTAACTGAGTTTTCAGCAGTTAGTTAACAGAATTTTCAGCAGTTATTTAACTGAGTTTTCAGCAGTTAGTTAACTGAGTTTCAGCAGTTAGTTAACTGAGTTTTCAGCAGTTATTTAACTGAGTTTCAGCAGTTAGTTAACTGAGTTTTCAGCAGTTATTTAACTGAGTTTTCAGCAGATAGTTAACTGAGTTTTCAGCAGTTAGTTAACTGAGTTTTCAGCAGATAGTTAACTGAGTTTCAGCAGTTATTTAACTGAGTTTTCAGCAGTTAGTTAACTGAGTTTTCAGCAGATAGTTAACTGAGTTTTCAGCAGATAGTTAACTGAGTTTTCAGCAGATAGTTAACTGAGTTTCAGCAGTTAGTTAACAGAGTTTTCAGCAGTTATTTAACAGAGTTTTCAGCAGATAGTTAACTGAGTTTTCAGCAGTTAGTTAACTGAGTTTTCAGCAGTTAGTTAACAGAGTTTTCAGCAGTTATTT